ATATTCATTCTACCGGTTCTGTTTCTTTAGAGAACCCTGACTAATACACCTGGTCATCCCGAGCTGAGCTGAGCTAGACTGAACTGCTGCCTTCCTGGAGGCCACACAGACTGCACCTGAATGCTGGTGACTTGGCCACAGGAGAACCAAGGCTGCATTCATATGGGTACCTCGGGAGGGCAGAATAACCAAGTGTTTCCAGGTCAACAGGAGCTCAGAAAAGCCCATGAGGTCCTGAAGGGAGAAAGCCTGAGACAAGGCCTTGGGGTTTATACCACCCTAGACAGGCACAACTCTCTGTGGACCCTCGGGCTGGGTGTGTCTAGGGTCCTGGTCTCTGGGCCTACCATAGAAGGAAGGGGGATTCCTCAAAGGCTCAGCACTTGCTGACTCACCCACCCACCCACCTGCCACCACCTTTGCTTCTATTTAGGTATCAGAAAAGGGAGAAGCTGCTGAACAAGAACAACGTGTTGGCATCAGTACAGTTGGAGGATTGGGACTGCTACCACCCCAGCTACATTCCCTGAAGACTTCTGCTAAGGGGGGCCTGGCTGCACCCAGGCCCTTGAAAGCCTGCAAGGCACTGGCCTCTTAGAAGCCCACTGCCTACAACCCCTCCCTTTTCTGTGATGTAAGCTTGGGTTACACCACAGCCCCTGCCACTAGGGTCATCTGACCCCCAAACTTGAAGCTGCTGGTAGGAGTTTCTCCTATGGGCCCAGGGTGTGGCCCCTGTAATATGCTATTCACCACCACACTAACTGGGAGCCAGCTGCCCATGCTTGGTGTGGGCAGACATGGTCAGGGACTGGAGCACAGACAAGCACAAGGCAGTACAGGAGACCTCAGGGCCTAACATTTGGGCAATGTCTAGACTGACAGCATGAGACTAAAGGGAAATGTCCACTCTGGTCAGCACCTGTCCAGTGTCCATAGAAAAGCAGCAATCAAGCCTGAGGAGCCCTGAGGGACCCTTTCAGGAGAGGGTAGCAGAGGCTAGCGAGGGGGTTGAAGGTCCAGGCCACACAGTGCTGAGCTGGAGGTGAGGGTCTTGAAGTACCTCAGGTTGTTAGTTAACTGACAGCTTCTTGTACTGGAGAGGAGCCTACAACAGGGGCCCCAGGCCTGGGCAAGTAGTCTAAGACAAGGCCGTGAGTTTTGTGCTCTCTGTGAGCCACGTGTTCTGGGACCCCCACTGAAAGCTGCAGAGAACATGTAGAAACCCTCCCTTCAGTTTGTCCTGGCCCTCCACTACCTGCAGAAGGTACCCCTTGCCAGGATAGTCAGCCTGAGCCTCAGTGAGCCAGTGCCATGAGTGAGAACCAAACTAACATAATGGCACATCTGGAGGCATCCCTGTTTTCACTCTGAGCTTCACATTCACAGAAACTCAAGGTGAATGCCAAGAACCTCAATCTGGGAAGAATTATTAATCAAAGTCAAGTTCACAGCAGCTGTGGAATGTGCTGGTCAAAGACGCTGGCATCACATTTCCTGGGAGGACTTGGGTAGTCACTTTGTAAATCATAAAATGAATCAAATGAGAATTAAAAAAACAGGGTCCAAGGGAGCCTTCTGGAGACACCTGGGGACCCAGGCTGGGCACACTAGCAGGGAGGAAAGCAGTGAGAAAAAAGCACAGGCAGGAACTACTGGTTTCTAGGAAGTCAGCCCAGCTGATGGGTGGGCAGCTGAAGACAGCCAAGGTAACACATGCAGTTCCAAAGTGAAAATTTTGCACCTCTGAGTCCTCTGAGCTGGGCATGGTAGTGTGTGCCTTTAATCCCAGCAGAGGCAGGGGTATCTTTGGTCTATATAGAGGTCAGCCTGGTCTACAAGGTGAGTTCCAGCCCAGCTGGGGCTACAGGGAGACTGACTCAAAACAAAGCCTTCTGGGGTCCCCATTACAGCTGGTGATAGGTAGTAGGTACAATGACATATCACAGGTACAGAAAGAAGCAAGACATAGCTGGGCAGAGGTGACCAGGTGAGATGTGGTCCAGGCTCCTTCAGTGGGTCAGCACTCTCAGGCACCACCAGAAGAATGATGCCCCACGGATGTGCTCAACCTGGCATCCTGGCAAGGATGTTGGTGGAGACCATGCCCTTCTTCACCCAAAGTTGGGAGAGGGTTAAGATGAAAAGTAATCACAGGATCCTTACAGTAGCCTGAGAAACCAAAGCAGGAGCTGACCAGACAATGTGCATCTCCAAAGAACACGCCCTCTGTTCCTCGGTTAGCAGAGCACAAGGCTTCTTTCCATTTTGAGATGTGGCCACCAACCCTCCCACCATCAGGCTATGACCAGACTCTGAGTCTACTAAGAAGGCAGCGGGGCACCATGCAACTTTTCAAGCCCAGTAGCAGCAAGCAGAGCAGGATTTAAAGAGATGAGCAGCCATGCTCAGAAGGCAGGTTTCATTCACCCGGAGCCCAATCGGTCAGTGACAACAGTGACTGCAAAGTGTCCTGCTGCCCACCTGTCAAAGTGTCTGAAACACCACTGCTGCTGCTATTTCCCTCACTTGGCCTCTCCTGCAGTCCTGCAGCAATGGTCAAGGCCATGAGTCCAATGGATTGGAATGGATCCACCCCAGCTGTACCTGTTCCCTGTATCCTGACAGATTGCCATCCTTTCTGGTCATCCCCATAGCCATTTCCCCCACATAGCTGGGTGATGGGAGTGCAGCCTCCAGACAGCCTCTGCTAGTCCATCAACCTGGAGCTCTATCTGTAGCCAGATGTGGGGCCTTTCATGTTCTGCCAGATTTTCCTAGGTGTTAGAAGGTGTGCCGCTGCTCAGAGTCCTGAGCAAGGCCATGGAGGCAGCAGATGCAGAAGCAGGTCCTGTCAGTCCTTCTAGGTAGCAGCCTGATCCAGCATCCCCTAATGTAGGGGTTACCTCCTGTCTGACCCATCTGCACCCCTGGTGGAGCAGCCTACCCCTCTGCCCCGTCTTCACCACTTTACTGTGGCTCAGTAGTCAATTATGCAATCCAAATGGACTTGAAGCCAACACACTATAAACACTCAAGTGGAATTAACTTGAACAGCAGCGGGTTCCCTCCTTGCTGGGTGGACAGCAAGGCTCACATGCATGTGTGCAGGCATATACATACATAGATACACACAAACTCATACTCTTTCATGCACTCCTGCCCAGGTTCCAGCCCACAGAACCACTCTTCTCTTGAGTCAGCCCAAAGGAGAACTTCTGAATCATTCATCTGCCTCAGGCACAACCATCAGGCCAGGTACTACATTCAGCCTCCTTTGGCTGGCACTGCCTTGGCTCTGGCGTCTAACATGTCTCTAATACTGTACCAGGGTCTGAGTAGCAGACGAGGGAAAGCCTGGCACTGGCCATGGAGACCTTGAAAGCTGGCCTAGTCTAGGGAGGATGATGTCACTGCTGCCACATGGCCAGCACCAACATTCCACATTACATTATGTAGCCATTCCTTAGACATTAAAGGCTCAGGAGCCCCCGTTCCTCCAAGAAAGCCAAACACCCAGGGAAGAGGAGACAATCTGCTTTCCCAACCCTTCTATGGGACCCAAATGGTGCTCTCTAAGGAGGGTGGAACCCAGCTCCATGTGAGGCAGTTGTCTGTGTCTGTTTCCAGGGAATGCCAGAATTGGGCCTCAGTTCCCTGAGCCCACAGTCCTCTCAGTCTGGCCCCTGTCCTGAGTTCTAATGGTCACAGTTGTGGCATCTCCCATCATCACATTTACTGTAGGTTCCACTTCACAGACATCCAAGATCAGGTGGGAGTTATGTTGTAGAATGACGAGGGAACCCTGAGCACCTACCTCAAACACAGCTAAGTCCTCGGTACAGCGATAGTATTACCTCTCACCTGAGACACTGCCTTGTGTGAGACCCTGTAGGCTGAGAGGTACATACAGGACTAAGCACTGAACTACAACCAAATGCCCACTCCAGGGCTCCTGCCTTCTTGTCACCCCAGAAAAACCTGAGGAAGTTCAACTAACCCCCACAGGTCTCCCTGCCTTAGCCTGGAGGCGTGGACATAGACACAGGGGACAGTCAGGGACAGAAGGAAGAAAAGGCTCCTGGGCTCTGTCAGTCATCCTCATTTATGACTAAAATACCAGATCCTGACAGACCACAGCACAAGGGGTTGGGCCTGCTTGCCCTACTGTAGGTCCTGACTCAGACATTGTCCTAGTGTTCACCCACATGGTGTCCACCCACAGAGCCACACAATCTTCTATGTCACCTAACAATGTCTACTCCCCACCAGCCACACAGGAAAACATCTGCTTGTCTGAAAAAAACAAAACAAAACAAAAACCAAATCCAAGCCCACCACCTCATTCACCAGACACACCTGTCACCTTGCCTGGCCCTTCCCTAGCCTTAAAGAAATGTGTCCAGAACTTCAGGGTCAGTCACAATCCTAACAGGCACTTGGCTGCACACTGCCCTACCCCAGGTACTTGCTGGAATCTCCATGCCAGAGCCACCTCATCCCCTGGCTCTATCTTGCGGAGCTGGCACTGGGTCAGCCAAGCTCTCCCCAGACACTCCATAGTTTCTTAATCTCACTAATACCCACTCACAAAAAGCTCTGGAACATCACAGCTTTACGCTGCTCTGCTGGCCCAAAACCGTGTTTCAAGGCTGCAGCAGACACAGACTAGGCCAGTTGAAAGGTTAAAAGTCCCATCTCAAGTGAGTTATGACCAGTCCTTTAGGGACCATAACCCTAGTCTATTCTTAGGGAGCACAGTCCCTTCCCCTAGTTTCCCCCAGGGCAGAAGCACCAGAATCCTAAAAATATACCACAACCAGTAGTCTTAAAGAGGTTTTCTTGTTGAAAAGGCACATTTAGTTTTGAGATTCAACATGCCCTCACCTTGCAGCTCCCCTAGGAGGACACGGGGCTGAGGGAGTACAGGAGGATTAAGGGAGCAAATATGCCTTGTCCAAGCCACAGACACTGGAGGGTTTCACAGAGGTGAGCTCAGAAGGGGGTAGGGAAAAATCAGAGTGATTAGGCAAACCCCCTGTGTTACCCAGAACAAAGCAACAGCACAGGTTAGCCCATGTCATCCCATGACAGGGTACTCACCAGAAGGCACGTGCAGGTCCAGTCCCTTCTGTTTACTCATCAACTCATACTAGAAGCCAGTGGTCCTCCTGCTGATGTCCTGTTGGGGTGTTGCCTCCTCAAAGAGGCCACCCTGCTCTAGGCCAAACCATTGCACCCGGCCAGGTTCACAACCTTTGTCCTGTAACAACAGTCTCAGTTCTCCAGTTTTTTCCAAATAAATATTGGCCCCTGAGGAGTCCCTGAAGGGCTTGATGCACACAATCAGGTTCCAGGCAGGTGGGAAGGTGTTGGGCCTCAGGTTGACGATGAGTGCCCCAGTTGGGTAGACCCACTCCACAGAACCTGCCGAGCAACTCAGGTACACCTGCTCCACCTCCTAGCTCTGTGCTTCCTGGGTCAGCCCACTGTGGGAAGAGGAAGGGGATAGATAGCATCAGTCAGAGGCACAGAACAGAGGCTGCCGACACCCCTCACACACCCCCACCCAGGGGAGTACATGTGATGGTGACACCTGTTGTGACCACTCACACTCCCTGACACGTGTTCAGATGCCCACCCCTCTCAACTTCCAGCAAACCTACTACAAAAGCGAAGCTGAGCCAGGCCACAGCTCTAAGGTGCGGGCTGCACTGCTCTCCAGATCCTAGATGTATGGGGCACCAGAGTCTCAGTAGGCTCTTTGGCCAAACACCAGGAACTGAGAATCAAGTTGGATCTGGATGCTTCCAAAGCATCCAGGAAAGCAGGCCAGGAGGACATGGTACCAGCTGAAGTTTCAGACTACTCAAAAAAACGAGGATGAGGCTCACATGTATCGATATCATGGGTGCAATATACATGGAGCAATAACATGCTCCAGAAAGCAGCTTCCAAAGCAGATGGAGGAGTTAGCCACAGAAAACATGAGATTCCAACTTTCCTGAAGCTGATGATTTGACTACATTCATTTCTAAGCCTGAAGTCTCTAGACCACTAATCATCATTTAAAAAATAGAACCAAGTGCCATTAAAGCAAGATTCATTATAAGAGCAAAGGAAACATCCCTGGGGCAGGGCAAGACCTTAGGACCAGGATTCCTAAAGTAGCAGGGTGATGCTGAGCTTCACCAAATGAAAGGCTGTGTGCTGTATGCTGCTCCCTGGGTGAGCTACATTTGTTTTCAAGAAATTGAAGCCATCAAGAACCGTAGTTTCCTCCAGCTCAAAATTGAAATGTGGATGTCAGCTTGTCACCACAGTTATGTCATAACCAAGTGGGTCTGGAAAGAAACCAGTGACTTCAGCTAAGAGTTCTGTTACTTGAGTTTGTTTCTGATCAGATCACAGACAGGTTCACCCACATTCTTAGGGTTTTTATGCAAAATAAACAAGGCTATATCCAGAGCCTAGCCTGAGTGAGTTTCCAGGATCCTTTTCTGCAAGGGAGAAAAATGTGTAACACATGGCATACCTTTACTGCTGGTGACTCATGCTTCCGGCCCTGAAACCTCACTTTGTATACAAGGGCTGCTGCAGGCCAGGGCTATAAGTTACTCTGAAGACTACATCAGAGAGAAGCATTGTCGGTGAACCCCCTCCTGACTGGGTCCCCACACCCACAAGGCCCTGGGCCAGGAGCAACCAGCCTGTAGGCACTCCTCAGGACAGACATGAAGAATAAATTTACAAATTACAGTCAGTAAAACTCACACAAGCTCATCTGACACCTATGTAAGGATGGGCATAATTACAGTGCTATGTGAAAATTAGACTACATGGTGAGTGGCTGATACACGTGACTCTAATCAGCTCTTTCCTTATGCTGCCAATGCAAACCTAATCGTAGTGTCTCTCCCCACTGCCTCCAGCATCAAGGAGCAGCTGACACTTCCACCAGGCCGAGTACAAACCTCTCTCCCATATAAGCACCCAGCCTGAAGTTTTGCTTCCCTCTCAGAGAGTCCTAAAGGTCAAGAGGGTGGAGGCCCCGCTGCAGAGGCTCGGTGGGCCTCAGAGCATTTAGCATCAGCACAAGAACATAAGACAAGGGGTTTTATATGTTCTTCCAACTGCACCTAAAACTACCAGGCACCTTCAGCTGCCCTTGGTTGATCTTTCTTTGTAGGGAGGCCCTTGAGGGGGCCTCAGAAGAAGAAATATGTCAGCAGTGATGGAGAAGGCTCAGGGGGATAAAAGGGAAGACTGCCTTCTACCCACAACACAGGCAGAGGCAGGGGGAAGCAGAGGGGACAGATCTGCTTCTGGGGGCCGCGTCCCAGCAGCTACATGCATCATGTGGTGGCCACCTGGCTCCACTTAATCAAAAGGAGCAAAATGAGAGTGTACTTACAGAAATGGGTGCCTGCTAGCTCACCTGTACACATGCCCTCACTAGCCAGGTGCCCTTCTCAGGACAAGTAACAGTCTTCCCTTACATTCCCATAAAACATCCAGGTCAGCAGGTGTTGGGAGACCTCTGTTATGCAAAAGTCGAAGCCCCTTCACACCTGACAGCTCATGCAGCTCGGGAATGTGCTGTGGGCTCCTTTTCATAGCAAGGTGCTTTCTGGCATCTTTCCTGTCTCTCCCTTTGAAGTGGCCGCCACAAATGCCCTGACATAAACATGGCCTTTGGCTCTGAAAAGATACCATGCCTTCCTGTAATTTTCCTAGCAGACAACTGTCTGGTAGAAATTCACTTCTACATGTAAATAGAATGCCTCACAAAGCATCTAACAGCCAAAGCTTTTACCACT